GAGAGGACGAGGGCGAACGGCAGTAACGGGAAGCAGAGGAGCAAGAGGAGGAGGAGGAAGAGGAGGAAGAGCAGGAGGAGGAGGAGGACGGGGGAGGACGAGGACGAACGGCAGCAGCGGGAAGCAGAGGAGCAGGAGGCCCGCGGAAGGCGGAGGAGGGGAGAGGAGGGGGGCGGCAACGGCGAGGAACCACTCAGCATCTGGAGTGTGGCCCGCGCGGGGGCGAGAGCGCCACGTGGCCGCGTGAGCCAGGCGCCGGTCCTGAAAGGAGGCCAGCACCGCAACGGCAACACCATGCTGAGAAACCGGAAACGCTCCTACTGAACACACACACTCACACGAACGACCACATTTCGACCCTGGTGTGCAAAACAAGCAATACGAAGAAGGGCGCGGGCGACACCCCGGCCATCTTCTGGTGAGAAAGGAGAGTAGTAGTCACAATGAGTTATTGTAAGAAAAGAAGCAAACGAGGGGAGGGGGATGAGATCGCGAGGGGGCAGGATAACATCGAATGAAGGGACCATGGATGGGGTGGACGGTGTGGATCAGGGAAGGGAGGAGTTGGGACGAGCGACGAGAGAGCGGAGAGGAGAGAGCAGAGACCAGAGATGGTGATGAGGAGGAAGAGATATTATGGTCAAACTAGGCCCTACAACCCTCCGCGAAACTTAAAGAAAATTGTCCCACCCCCTCCGTGACCCAAATTTCAATGTTCAGTTGCACGCGCGGCGCTGTCCGCGAACGCCGACGGACAAATAAAGTCGCGTGTCTCGGCATCAACATTGAAATTTGGGAGTCTGGGGGTGCCGATGCGGCGCGGGAAAAACTTGTGTTGAGTTTCGCGGAGGGATGCTGGATGTCCCTAGAAGCCAAATTCAATGAATGTGCCTCAAAAGGCAGCCACCGTGCCTCTGGCACGAAGTAGAATGCCCCAAAACTCATGCTGTGCTGCTGCTTCTGCTGCTGCAACCAGACTTGTGAATCTTCAAGGGCCTGGACCAACCGTCTCCCAGGCCGTCTCGGGCCATGTTGGGGTTTCCCCTCGGGTCCTCTGGACGCCTTGACCGCCCAAAACCTAATTCAAAGACAATGTCAATAGCCTCGAGACGGCCCCAGAAACTTCCAAAATGACCCCAAAGGCCTCCAACAACACCCCCACGAAGGCCCCAAGAGGCAACAATCATTGATGTTCCGTACCTTTTTTGAAGAATTTGTGCGTTCTCGCCTTTTCGGCTTCCCGACGCTCCCAGACGGCCCTAGAGGCCCCCAAGGCCGCCTAAAGACAGCCTCAGCGGCCTCCAAGGGGGGCCCAAAACGGTCCAAGAGGGCACCAAGGCAGCCCAAGAGGCGCCCAGAACGGCCACAGAGGGCCCCAAGACGGCACCGAAAAGGACCCAACAGAGGGAGCACGAACTGAAAATCCGAGACTTCCGCCCCAGGAGCCCCCGAGAGGCGCCCAGGAGGCCCCAAGATGCCCCAAGAGGCCCCCAAGAGGCCCAAAGGACGCCCCAAACGGCTCCCTAAGAGGCGTCCAAACTGCCTCCAAGAGGCGTCCGAGGAGCCTCCCACGAGACTCCAACGAACATCCACTAGGCTTCACACCGGCAACCCAGGCACGGTGGCGGGATGGGCCGAAGGCCACTAGCTTTAACTCATGTTCGGGCTGTCGCCCCTTCGGCAACCGAGCGCAAGAAAGGCCCAAGAGGCTTCCATTATCGTTATAGCTTCCGATGTGGTCCAAAATGCCCCACCACGACGGCCTGCACATCGAAGCAAGTACCCCCCACACAATGCCCATCGAAGACCTCGAATAGGAACCCATACGTAGCACCCCGCAATTGCGGATAAGAGTGAGGGGGCGGGCGCGGGCGACGCGGGCGTCGTCGAGCCGGCGGACCTCGTGGCCCCCACCTTCCCTGTCGATGGCGCTGTCCTCCTCCTCCTCCTCCTCCTCCTCTTCCTCGTCCTCGTCCTCATCGTCATCGTCATCCTCCTCCTCCACCTCGTCCTCCTCCTCCTCTTCTTCCTCGTCCTCCCTCTCCCCCCCTCGTCCTTTCATCATCGTCCTCCCATTGTCGTCCTCCCCCTCATCGGCCTCCATCATCGTCCTCCCATTGTCGTCCATCATCATCATCATCATCATCATCATCATCATCATCATCATCACATCATCATCATCATCACCATCAACATCACCATCACCATCACCATCACCATCATCATCATCATCATCAGCATCAGCATCATCATCATCATCATCATCATCATCATCATCTTCATCATCCTCGTCCTCCTCCCCCTCCTCCCCCTCCTCGTCTTCCTCCTCCCCCTCCTCCCCCTCCTCGTCCTCCTGCTCCTCCTCCTTTTCTTTCTCCACATTCTCCTTACATCCTCTCTTCTTCCGCGTTCTCCTCGTCCCCTGTTTACTCCTCCTGCCTCCCCCTCCTTTCCCAAGATAACTGCAACGCAATCCTTTTTTCCACTTTATGTTCCCCGCCTTCTTTGATTAAGGCAACTCGCCAGGGCAGAGTTGCTGGACGGGCTGGTGTGGATGCGCGGGGCTTGAAGAGGTCCTTGCGGGCTCAGGCGGCATGCAAAAATCCGCCGCCGCGCTTGTGCGGCATTGGTTTGTTCAGTGAACGTGGTTTAGGTCGCGGGTGGGTCGCGGGCTCTCCACCTCCACCTGGAAGGAATGCAAAAGCAGCCCGCCGCAGGCGCCAACAAACATTGGTTTGTACACTGAACGTGGTTTGGGTCGCGGGTGGGCCGCGGGTTCTCCACCGGGAACGAATGCAAAAGATGCCCGCCGCAGGCGCCGAAAAATGTGGTTTGTACCCTGAACGTGGTCGCGGGTGGGCCGCGGGCTCTCCACCTGAAACGAATGCAAAAGATGCCCGCCGCAGGCGCCGAAAAATGTGGTTTGTACCCTGAACGTGGTTTGGGTCGCGGGTTGGTCGCGAGTTGGTCACGGGGTGGGTCGCGGGCTCTCAACCTGGAAGGAATGCAAACAAGCCCGCCGCAGGCGCCGAAAATGGTGGTTTGTACCTTGAACGTGGTTTGGGTCGCGGAAGGGTCGCGGGTGGGTCGCGGGGTAGGTCTCGGGTGGGTCGCGGGTGGGTCGCGGGGTGGGTCGCGGGTGGGTCGCGGGTGGGTCGCGGGGTAGGTCGCGGGGTGGGTCGCGGGGTGGGTCGCGGGGTGGGTCGCGGGGTGGGTCGCGGGGTGGGTCGCGGGTGGGTTGCGGGTGGGTCGCGGGGTGGGTCGCGGGGTGGGTCGCGGGGTGGGTCGCGGGTGGGTCGCGGGGCGGGTTGCGGGTGGGACGACGACAACAAACAACAACAACAAACAACAACAAACAACAACAACAACAAACAACAACAACGAGAATCCGCACCGCGGAATTCCACTTCAGCCACGCACCCAGGGACAGTGAATGACCGTTCGGCCCCCTCACTCTGACCATATAATTTACGACGTTCGTGTTCGACGCTCGGATCTGATGCATCAGGCTGCTCCCAAGCTTCGAATTGCACGGCTGCCCCGCCAAGAGACAACACCACTCATCCGACCGTCACGAGCATCGTCCGCTTCTGCCCTCCCCCGGGGGTCGGCGGGCTGGCGTGTGCCTCTTGAGCACGGCGGTGGACGGTGTGGAGGCGGGGCGAGCTGCCGAAATTGGTGGCGGGGACGCATGCCGGCGGCATCATTTGGGCCTGAGGTGGGGCCCTGATGGGGCCACGGAGCATGGATGGGGTGTGCCGAAGTTGGTGGCGGGAGCGCATACGGGCGGCACCATGTGGGTGGGAGCTCCCCTATGGGGCCACGAAACGTGTGAGGGGTTTGCCGGTGGCGGGGACGCATGCGGACGGCACCATGTGGGCCTTGGGTGGAGCTCCCAATGGGGCCACGAAACGTGTGAGGGGTTTGCCGACGTGGTGGCGGGGACGCATGCGGGCGGCACCATGTGGGCCTTGGGTGGAGCTCCCCATGGGGCCGCGAAACGTGTGAGGGGTCTGCCGACATGGTGGCGGGGACGCCTGCGGATGGCACCATGTGGGCCTTGGGTGGAGCTCCCCATGGGGCCACGAAACGTGTGAGGGGTTTGCCGACGTGGTGGCGGGGACGCATGCGGGCGGCATCATTTGGGCCTTGGGTGGAGCTCTCCTTTATGGGGCCACGAAACGTGTGGGGGAGAGTGCGCCTAAATCGGTGGCGAGGACGCCTGCGGGCGGCACCATTTGGGCCTTGGGTGGAGCTCCCTGTGGGGCCACGAAGCGTGTGAGTGGTGTGCCGAAATGGTTGACTGGTGCGGAGGGCAGGGGCAACGATGGGACATCAGAAAACGATCCGGGGAGCAAGCATCGTCCCGGGGAGCAAGCATCGTTCCAGGGACCCGCACCGAAAAACACAAGACGTAATGAGGTGTGGGAGTGGACAGGCTCGGGGTCGCACGCATGCGCTGACATCTGGCCGTCGCCAGGAGACTCGGGCCCTGGGACCTTCACGGATCGGTCTGGTTCGACCAGCGTTGCAAATCGTGAGGGTGTACGGCGCCAGCCATCATTTCACACGATGCTGAAGATTTGTTCGCGACGTCGGAGCTCGAGGGAACGTTTTTGGTGTCGGCCCCAGCTGGCCTTCGAGACCCTGAAAGGATGTGGTCAACGTTGATGATCATTCGAGACCCTCGAGACCCTAAAAGGGTGAGGACCCTAAAAGGGTGCGGTAAACCCGTGCTCGGCTTCGAGACCCTGAAAGGGAGGGGTCCCTGGATCTCAGCACGCACTCGAGAGCCTCAAAGGGTGCGGTCGGCGTTCGGGTCGGCCGCATCCCTCCAGGAGAGGAGGGCAGAGGGGCGACCAGAGGAGGAGGAGGCGGAGGGGGAGGCCCGAGAGAAGAGGCGATGCAAGGCGAGGCGAGGCGAGGAGAGGCGACGCGAGGAGAGCTCAGGGTGGCGAGGAGAGGCGACGCGAGGCGAGGAGAAGGAAGGCGAAGAAAGCCTCGGCGGTCGGCTCGTCGTCCGGGATGTGCAGGGTCTCGAAGTACTTGAGCTCTATGGCCCCCTGCACGTTCACTCTCCTGCCCCGCAGAGGCCAGCACCTCCCTCTCGCTCTCCTCCCCCCTCCGCCCTCTCCTCCTCCTCCTCCTCCTCCTCCTCCTCCTCCTCCTCCTCCTCCTCCAACTCCAACTCCTCCTGCTCCTCCTCCACTTCCTCCTCCTCCTCCTCCAGCAAGATGTAAGCCAAAGGACACACTGAGGCATACATATCTTTATTTCCGAGTAGCTTTTTTTTGTTCCTCTCTCTCACACTCTATCTCCTTCCTCCTCCTCCTCGTCGTCGTCCTCCTCCTCCACAGACCCCAGACGTCAGGATATTCTCGCAGCGTGGACCCCTGGATGTCCTGACCCCTTCCCTGGGGTCCAATGTTTCATCCCTAGCCGTTTCTATGCTGGGGTCGGATCGCCCAAACAGAAGCCATCCGTCGCTCCGTTCGTCCACGGTGCGATGGTCTTGGTCCTCTTCCACGTTCTCCTCCTCCTCCTCATCCTGGGGCAAGGCGGCTGCTTTGAGCCAACAACTTCTACAATACCCCCGCTACCTACAGCGGACCTCTTCCTCGCCACTTGCTGATCCTCCTCCTCCTCCTCCTGATCCTTGCGATCCTCTTCCGCTCCGCCTGCTCCTGCTCCTGCTCCTCTTGTTCGTCCTCCTCCTCCTCCTATCGCCATCGTCGGCAGACGAAGACGACGTCGTCGACGGTGACCTCTGGACATGCAAGGGGGAGGACCCCGGGGGGGGAAGGCATGGCTCTCCTCTCCGGGTGGAAAGTCAGCATGCTCTCGATCGCGTGTACCTGCGGAGTGAGGCATCGGCGGCGCGGGAATCCCCCCTCCTCCTGATCCTCCTCCTCGGCCTGCTCCCTCCTCCAACCCCTCCTCCTCCCTCCTTCTTTCCTTCCTTCCTTCCTTCTGTCTCCTCACCCTCCCTCCTCCTTCCTCCTTCTCCCCCTCCTCCTCCTCCCCCTCTTCCCCCTCCTCCTCCGCCCCCTCCTCCTCCTCCTCCTCCTCCTCCTCCTCCTTCTCCACCTCTTCCTTCCTCCTCCCCCGCTTGCTCCTTTTCTCATCCACCAAGACCCAAACGCTATGATCTGGGCATCGCCAAACATCCGCCACCGTGCCTGCGCGCAGTGGGCGTGTTAGAATGCTCCTGTGGTAACCCTGGGAGTGTTTTCATGTTTCCTTGGGCCAAACACCCCCATGCATCGCACGCGGGGTTTAACAGTCGCCTCCCCTGAAGTTGCTCCCTGGCGCTCTTTTCGGCCTCCAGGCGGCCAAGATGGCCTCCAAGACTGCTTCCAAGACGACCATGACGACACCAAAACTGCTCAAGATGGCCCAGGATGGCTCAAGAGGCCCTCAAGACGGTCTCCAGACATCCCAAGATGCCCCCAAGACGGCCCGAGGGCTCCGATAGGCCTCAAGGAGAGCCCGAGGAGGCCAATACCAACACCATTGATTCCCTCTAGGTGTTGATAAGGTTTGAGGTTCTCGCTTGTTCGGGTTTCCGACCGCCCAAGACGGCCCAAGAGGCGCCCCGGATGGCCCCAGTACAACCCAAGGGGCCCCCAAGAGGGCCCCAAGTCGGCTTAAGAGGAGCTCAAGATCGCCCAAGAGGCTCTTGTGAGGGCCCCAATGTGGCCCTAACGCGCTTCAAGAGTGCACCGAGACGGCCCGGGGACGCCTCCAAGACGGCGCCTGAGGGCGCCAGACGGGCTACGAACCATGTAAGACAACCCAAGAGGCTCCCAAGAGGTCCCAGGACGCCCCCAAGACGCCCTCTGAAGGACAAACAAATATATTCTCGTGTGTTGCTGAAGCAAGTGTTGAGGTTCTCGCTTGTTTGGGTTCTCGCTCACCCAAAACGGCCCGAAAAGGCCTCCAAGACGGCGCCTTGACGGCCGGCGAGGCTCCCAAGAGGGCCCCAAACCGGCCCAAGAGGACCCCAAGATCGCCCAATAGGCTCCGAGGAGGGCCTCGATGCGGCCCTGTAGCGCTCCAAGCATGCACTGAGACGGCCCAGAACTACCCTCAAGACGCGAATGCGTCAGACGGGCCACGGGCCACCTAAGATGGCCCAAGAAGCCCCAAGAGGCCCTGTGAGGCATCCAATGGTGCTCTAGGCCCCCCAGGAGAGCCCGAGGAGACTAAAACCATTGTTTTTTTTTGTGGATTTGCAAAGAGGTTGAGGTTATCGCTGGTTTGGGCTTCCGACCATTCAGTAGAACGTATGGCTCCAAGACAGTACAAGGGGTCCTCATCAGGGCCCGAAGATCGCCGCCGAGGCTCCCAAGAGGGCCCCAAAGCAGCCCTGAAGCGCTCCAAGAGTGCACCAAAACGGCCCAGAGAAGCCTCCAAGACGGCCAGCGAAAGCGCCAGCCGAGCCAAGAGCTCCATAAGACGGCCCACAAGGCCCCAGAAAGTCCCCAAGAGGCCCCGGGAGGCCACCAAGAGGCCCCCAAGAGGCCCACAGGAGGCTCACAGGAAGCACCCAGGAGGCCCCGAGACAGGGACCGATGAGCCCTTTTCCTCCTCCTCCTCTTCATATTTTCCATCTCCGCTTCCTCCTCCTCCTCCTCCTCCTCCTCCTCCTCCTCCCCTCGCTCCTCCTACTCCTCCTCCTCCTTCTCCTTCTCCGCCTGCTCTTCCTCCATACCGCGCGGACGACGACGAGGTCGAGATCACGACCCTTCTACATTCAAACTACTCGCTGCACTGCCGAGGGGCATGAACTCAACCCCCTTCCTGCCGCGCCGACGAAGACAAGGTCGAGTTCACGGCCCGTCCTAGTTGAGACCAGTCGTCGGCCTTGCCCTGTTCCTACACTCGGTCTCCTTCCAGCTGCTCCGTTGCACAGGCACGGTTGAAGGGGCCCTGGGGCACACAAATAAATACGCACAAATAAAAGGATGCACCGTATTTTGTCATATTTTCTGGGTTTCTGTCTTCCCCCCCACTGCCCATATTTTCGTATATTTTCTGGGGAATCGACGATTCATTGTGTCTGTGTTTTTTCTCCTCCTGAACGGTGGCGGGGTTTGCCGCAGGCAGCTCGATACCGACGAGTCTCCGGGCCCCCTCCCCAGGCCCCGGGGGTGTCAGAAACGACCAGGGAGGAAGGCTGGTCTTAAGTCGGGCCTGTCCCTCTGCAGGGGGAATCTTCAGAAACAGTACAAAAATAATATGGGGACTATTTTCTGACATTTCTTTAAATATTTATGGGGTGTGTTTGGGGTATTCTCAATTGTTCGTCCAACATCCCCCTGTAGGGGGACATGCCCGACCTAAGGCTGGTCCTGGGAAACGTATCCAGACCTCTCGGGGTGAACGCTGTGAAACATCACGTCCAGGGCCAGAGGAGGAGGAGGAAGGAGGGCGACAACAATAAGTGTGGATGTGTGCTCTTGGGCCTAAATGGGCCTGCCCGCAATATCCGGAGATCCCTGGAGACCACCAGCGAGGAAAAGGATGATGACGAATAGGAGGAAGGAAAAGTGAGGTTGGACGGGGATGGAGGACGAAGATGAGGAGCAGGCAAAACAGAACATTAGAACCAAGAGAGGGGAACACGGAAGAGAAAGATGAACTATAAGGGGGCGGGAGAGGAGGCATGAAAACCAGGAGGAAGAGGAGAATGAGGAGGAGGAGTGTGGAAGAGGCGGAAGAGATGGTAGAAATTACTCCGACGGAAGAGCCCCACATAAGAATCCTCTGGGCGAATCTGGAAAAAACCATCACCGTCGTCCTCGTGGTTGGTGAGGCGTCCTGGCTGTCTCTTCTGCGTATATTTCCTGTCGCCTTGGCGCGGGCCCCCCTTCCACTCCTTACGTTGTCCCCATCCTCGCCCCCCTGTTTGTTCCGCGCCCCGCCACCTCCTCCCCTTCCTGTTGCATGAGCGCGCGTGTCGATGTTCCTCGGCGCCGTCGCCGCCACGGCCAGCACAGGCGCGTTCTCTACAGGTCACGTCGCGCAGCCGTTGGGACAACCCCGCGGGCCAGGCTGTCGGGACAACCCCGCGAGCCGTTGGCGCGCAAGACCAAGCCGTTGGGACAACCCCGCGGGCTTCGAGCGAGGCGCAGCCGCGCTCAGGCGGAAGGCAGCACGAAGCCCAGCTCTGCCGCGAGCTGCTTCGCCTCCGCCCTGGACAAAACCGCTCTCTTGTCGAACTCCAGGAGCGCCTTCCGCAGGGACGCCGGCGGCCCGCACTCCAGGAACTCTCGCGGCGGCGGCCGCAGGATCAGCATGTTCCGCATGCACGTGGCGCGGGAGAACATGACGTAGAGGTGCAGCCACCACTGCTCGTCCGACATGCCCGTGCGGCCAGCGTCCTCGTCTCTCGCGCAGTCGATGGTGACGCCCTTGCGCAGCGTCTGGCCCTGCGACAGCGTGGAGGTCAGGTAGGACGCGTGCGTCAGGGTGAACCCCTGAGCCCCCGCTCGGATTACCAACATGATCTGCGGGCCCCATAGGGAGGGGGCTCCCGCCTGAGACTTCCTCGCAGTTCACTCACAGACGAGGCTCCCGCCTGAGACTTCCTCCATATTCAGGCTTGAGGAGCCCAAAAGAGACGACAGTTACAGGGTTCCGATGACCCGCTCGGATTACCAACATGATCTGCGGGCCCCATAGGGAGGGAGCTCCCGCCTGAGACTTCCTCACAATTCAGGCTTGACGAGCCCAAAAATGACGACAGTTACAAGGTTCCGATGACCCGCTCGGATTACCAACATGATCTGCGGGCCCCATAGGGAGTGGGCTCCCGCCTGAGCCTTCCTCACAATTCACTCACAGACGAGGCTCCCGCCTGAGACTTCCTCCACATTCAGGCTTGAGGAGCCCAAAAGTGACGACAGTTACAGGATTCCGATGACCCGCTCGGATTACCAACATGATCTGCGGGCCCCATAGGGAGGGGGCTCCCGCCTGAGACTTCCTCACAATTCACTCAGAGACGAGGCTCCCGCCTGAGACTTCCTCCAAATTCAGGCTTGACGAGCCCAAAAATGACGACAGTTACAAGGTTCCGATGACCCGCTCGGATTACCAACATGATCTGCGGGCCCCTCCCGCCTGAGACTTCCTCACAATTCACTCAGAGACGAGGCTCCCGCCTGAGACTTCCTCCAAATTCAGGCTTGAGGAGCCCAAAAGTGACGACAGTTACAGGTTTCCGATGACCCGCTCGGATTACCAACATGATCTGCGGGCCCCATAGGGAGGGAGCTCCCGCCTGAGACTTCCTCCCAATTCACTCACAGACGAGGCTCCCGCCTGAGACTTCCTCCATTTTCAGGCTTGACGAGCCCAAAAGTGACGACAGTTACAGGTTCCGATGACCCGCTCGGATTACCAACATGATCTGCGGGCCCCATAGGGAGGGGGCTCCCGCCTGAGACTTCCTCACAATTTACTCAACGATGATGAGGATGAGGATGATGAGTGGTGGTGAAGATGAGTGGTGAAGAGGATGATGATTGATTGTGAGTGGTGGTGGCGATGATGATGTTTGAATGAGGATGATGCCGATGCCGATGATGATGATGATGATGATCGTGAGCGTGTGAGAGAGTGCGAGTGATGATGATGATGAGTATGTGAGTGACTAAGCATGTGAGAGATCATCATCGATGATGCTGATGAGGTTGATGATGAGAGAGTGTGAGTGAGTGTGAGTGGGTGTGTGTGTGTGTGTGTTCCTGTTCCTGCGCGGGGTGTCCAGAGAAAACAAGAACCCCACTTTGGATGTGGGGAAAAAGAGGGTAAGCACAAAGAACATGTGAGGGAGGAGGACTCATCCGGGTGAGGGGGGATAAGAGCCCTCTCCCCACATACCCCCGACGTCATGATCTCTTCATGACGTGGGCCCTTGGATGTATAGCCCCGGTCGCCGCCCTGATCATAGAAAACTGGAGGTGTCCAGTCGCCATCGACGAAGTCGATCGCTGCCGATTTTCCGATTTTGCTTCAAATTTGGGTATCGGCCGCGGCCGGCTTGCTTCAAATCGGTCGCGACCGGTCGCGACTGATTTTGAGATCGTCGCAATCGGTCGCGACCGATTTGGAATGTCGATTGGTCGCCATCGATCGCGACTGAACAAATCAAATGCAATCAAACTGCTGCAATAAGGAACACTGAATACGGAACGACGCCCCCTTTCTGGCAACAGAAGAGCCTGGGTGCATGAGGAGGGCTAGAGGAACGCTCATGGAATGACCTCAGGAACAACGAGCTTTTTCCGCACCCGAAGCGGTCCTTGTTTCAGCGTCTTGGCTGTATCTTCGGTGGCAACTAACTCATGGGAGCCTCCCATACCATCTTGTCGGCTCGTGCGAATCGACGCTGGTCGTCGATATAACGATGTTAAATCGACGCCGATCAAATCGACGCTAACCGACGCTAAACCGGCGCTATCTCGTCGACTCCAGACGCTAACCACCGACGCCAGAGACGGAATTGAGAGGGTATACCAATATACCAGGCTCCCATGAGTTGCGTTCCTTTTCAAAATTCTGGGGCCCAACGCTCGGCGATGGACAAACCTCCCTTTTAATGAACCTCCCTTCAATGAACACGGCCTGGGACCCAAACCGACGGACTCGGACCCGCAGAAACGACGGCCGCGACGCCCTCTCGCGAACCGAAAACGGCCAATTCCGTCATCGACGTGTCAGGGCAGGCGGTCTATCCACCTCCGAAGCGCGAGGGGCCCCCCGGAGGCGGGAGGCCCTGCCGCGAGAGGCGGGAGCCCTGCGCCGTGCTCTCTCCCCGCGGCGCGACGGGGCCTGGGCTCCTGCCCCTCTCTCTCTCTCGAGCGGGAGGCCACGGCGGCCTCCCCGGGCGGGGCCCGAGCAGGTGGGGCCGGAGGGCAGGTCGCGCCGCACGGCCGATGTGGCAGTCGACCCGCACGGTGGAGGGACGGGTGAGCTTCCCCCCAGGGGTGCTGTGGCTCCCATCCTACTTAGGGACCACATCCCAGAAACAATTTCGAGCGCCTGGAAAAGTGTCGAGAGAGAGTCGAAACAGTGTCGGACGAGTGTCTCCCAGGTCCCGACACGTGAAAATCCTTGAGTTTTGGAACTTTTCTGGTGCTCGAAATTCGTTCTGGTGATCATGATCAAGGCTCAAGTAGGTTGGATCATCATAACCCAAGGGTGCCCCTCGCATCGTTGCCTCGTCGTCGCATCCTCAGCGATCTTCGCTGGCCAACCTCGCTCGAGAAACGATCACGTGGGCCTCCGAGGCCCCTGCATCCTTACCGCGCATCCTTCCGATGCGGGTTGACCGTATGTTGCATCCTCGGGGGACCTTCTCTGTCCCCTCTCGGCCCTGTCCGCGTCGAATCGGTGTCGAATCCATGGTCGGACTCGTCGGATCCGCGTCGAATCCGTGTGGAATCCGCGTCGAATCAACGCCAAATCCGCGTCGAGTCCGCACCGAACCTGCGTCGGGCACAAGACAAGACACCAACTTTTGGCACAGGCGATGTCCCCCGAAGATGCAATGTAAACGATACATCGGCGATGCATCGCCGATGCATCGGCGACCTCGGCGATGCATCAGAGTGGAACAAGTCAAGCTCCACATCGAGCGGCATCGTGGATGCATCGGCGATTCAGAGCGATCCCTCGACCCCATCTACTCGGAGCCCATTTGGGAGGCCTAGAGAAGGGGAGCAAGACCTGCAAACGACAGAACACTCGTATACAGCCACGAACCCGGGTGATTACGGGGAGCCACATAATGATTGGGCTCCGAAACCCATCACATGGATCATACATAATCACTAAAACCGAGTCAGCCGTAGCTGGTGTTTCTTCGGGTGGCGGGCAGTTCTGGTTAGTGGACTGGGGCGGGGGGGCGTCCCACGGTACATATTACTTCAGTCGGACCCAGGCCAGAAGAACATCCCTCCGTCGGCAAAAACACACAGAACACCCAAGGGCACCCTCCCCAGGATGCCCAAGAGCATCCAACAAACACGAAGAACAGTCAGGCACCCTCCCCGAACCGACCTCGATCTTACACCTCGGTCCGACTGTAAACCTGGCCCCGCCAACAACGCGCATGCGCGAGGAGGAAGAAAGGAACACCGCCCACCGCCTGGGGGGTGCCGGATCTGCCGGGTGACGCCGCGTGCCCCCGACCGCCGCCAGAGCGGCAGACGGACCTGGGCCTCACGCAGGATGGCATGACGACCTCATGCGGCGGCTGACGCGGGCCTCCGGCGCGGCCACGCCGCGTCGGAAGCAAGAGCGTTGACTCGCGGCCTCGCGCGGGCAGCCTGCGCAAGTGTGTCGGCGCGACCGGGCCCGTGTTTCCGGGTCGCCCATCCGCCGAGTCCCTCCAGAGTGCAGGGTCGGTCAGCATCGCATCGAGGCATCGGATCGGATCGAGATGTGCGTCGGATTGGGCCGCATCGGCAGGGAGCCGAAATCGGATCGGATCGGCTGCGCCGGGATACACAATAATGCTTTCAAACATCTGGCCGCACCTAATCGTCGGAATATTGGAATCACATCGGATTGATCGGATCGAGACGGGCCCCGGAATGGGGTGGTGATCCTTCTTCTCCTCCTTCGCCTCTGCATCTCCTCCCAACGGCCTCGGACGCTGTGGCTTTTCCCTTCCCACCGGCGCCTGGAAATCAAATGTTCTGGAGGTCTCTCACTCCAGACCGAGGTCTCTGGGGAGGCCTCCAGACGTCCCTTGAGAGCAACAACCAGAAGAAACGGACAAAAAACAGTATCGTCCTCCGTCACATCCTCCTCCTCCTCTTCCAAAAACCGTGCATGGCGACAACACATTCGAAAATCGGCCGAACCGGCAGCAACACGGAACCCGACCGACAAAGACATGCCCCAAACAGTCCAGACTGGCGCAGCGACGCAACAGTGGCACAACAGCCGACCAGAACCGAAACGACCGAACTCACAGCCGCCTGCAACGTAGCCGAAAAACGACCAGAGCGCGGACACACTTGAAAACCTAGATCCTCCTCCCCCCTTTTCTCCTCCTCCTCCTCCTCCTCCTCCTGCCTCGTCGTCCTCCTCCTCCATCCCTCCTCCACCTCCTCCTCTCTCCCTCGGGTACCCCGTCCGCCGTGGCCTTCGGGTAGATGCTCGACCACGGCTGCTTGGAGCACACTGGTATCTTGTTGATAAAGGCCCGGGCTGGGCTCTTGGGAGGCAGCCAGTCCAGGTCTGCCTCCGTCGGGGTGCCCAGCACCTGCAGGATCACCTGGCTCTCTCTCTCTCTCTCTTTCTCTCTGTATCTCTCTCTCTCTCTCACTGGCCATCGCTCGGACGTCCATTCCCTGTGCTTGTTTCGGTTTCGTGCGTGTTTTTTTTCGCAAGGTGATCCAGGATGCTCCTTACTAATCCCCGCCGAGAAAAAGTGCACACCTCCGAGCGATACCAAGCTCGCTGGGGCGACGGCGCAGGCCGACGACGACGAGGGAGGATGAGGGACTCCACTCTCCGACAGTCACTCTTACGACGTCGCCCCCTCCTCCTCCGCCTCCTCCGCCTCCTCCTCCTCCTCCTCCTCCCTGAAGTCTCGATCCCGTTTCCTGGGGTCGAACCTCCTTTTACTGGCGGGTCCCGGGGCCCTGGCCGAGGCCCCTGAAGGCAGAAACACCGACCAACACACACACACACACACACACACACACACACACACACACACACACACACACACACACACACACACACACACACACACACACACACACACACACACACACACACACACACACACACACACACACACACACACACACACACACACACACACACACACACACACACACACACACACACACACACACACACACACACACACACACACACACACACACACACACACACACACACACACACACACACACACACACACACACACACACACACACACACACACACACACAACACACACACACACCAACCCTACACAACACACACACACACCACACACACACCACACAACACCACACAAACAACACACCACACACACACACCACACACACACACACACACAAACACACAAACACCAAACACACAAACACACAACCACACACAAACACCAACCACACAAACACACCAACACACAAACACACAAACACACAAACACACAAACACACAAACACACAAACACACAAACACACAAACACACAAACACACAAACACACAAACACACAAACACACAAACACACAAACACACAAACACACAAACACACAAACCCACAAACCCACAAACCCACAAACCCGCAAACCCACAAACCCACAAACCCACAAACCCACAAACCCACAAACCCACAAACCACAAACCCACAAACCCACAAACCCACAAACCCACAAACCCACAAACCCACAAACCCACAAACCCACAAACCCACAAACCCACAAACCCACAAACCCACAAACACACAACCACACAACCACACAACCACACAAACACACAAACACACAAACACACAAACACACAAACACACAAACACACAAACACACAAACACACAAACACACAAACACACAAACACACAAACACACAAACACACAAACACACAAACCACAAACACACAAACACACAAACACACAAACACACAAACACACAAACACACAAACACACAAACACACAAACACACAAACACACAAACACACAAACACACAAACACACAACCACACAACCACACAACCACACAACCACACAACCACACAACCACACAACCACACAACCACACAACCACACAACCACACAACCACACAACCACACAACCACACAACCACACAACCACACAACCACACAAAACCACACAACACACAACACACAAACACACAAACACACACACACAAACACACAAACACACAAACACACAAACACACAAACACACAAACACACAAACACACAAACACACAAACACACAACACACACAAACACACACAACACACAAACACACAAACACACAAACACACAAACACACAAACACACAAACACACAACACACACAAACACACAAACACACAAACACACAAACACACAAACACACAAACACACAAACACACAAACACACAAACACACAAACACACACACAAACACACAAACACACAAACACACAAACACACAAACACACAAACACACAAACACACAAACACACAAACACACAAACACACAAACACACAAACACAAACACACAAACACAAACACACAAACACACAAACACACAAACACACAAACACACAAACACACAAACACACAAACACACAAACACACAAACACACAAACACACAAACACACAAACACACAAACACACAAACACACAAACACACAAACACACAAACACACAAACACACAAACACACAAACACACAAACACACAAACACACAAACACACAAACACACAAACACACAAACACACAAACACACAAACACACAAACACACAAACACACAAACACACAAACACACAAACACACAAACACACAAACACACAAACACACAAACACACAAACACACAAACACACAAACACACACACACATACACACCTCGCGCCGTGCTCTTTCTTCCTGGAGGGAGAAAAGGAGGAGGGAGGGAGAGCTCCTCCTCCTCCTCCTCCTCCTCCTCCTCGTCCTCATTTTCGCCACTTCCTCCTCCTCCTTCTCGTCCTCCCCCTTTTCACCTCCTCCTCCTCCCCCTCCTCCTCCTCGTCCTCCCCCTTTTCACCTCCTCCTCCGCTCAGCAATCACACAAACTCCGCCGTCGTGTCTTCTGGGCAGGGAGGAGTGGAAGTGTCCTCAGGTCCACGCCCCAAAACCCTCCAAGGGTCAGGCCTCAAAGCTGAGGTGTCTTTGATAGACGAGCGCGTTCCACTACTCGCAAATGGCCTGGATCCCCTGCGGGAGATCTACGACGATCACTTACATATTTGCAGACATGAGTTTTTTTTTCTGACGTTTGCGAGTAGGCACTTTGCAAGTAGTGGAACGCACTCGGTGATTTGAGGGGCCGAGGCCGCAAGTTGCCACATCTCCTTGGGCTTGCCGCGTCTTCTCGGGCGCTTGCCGCGACTTCTTGCGCGACTTTCTTCGGCCTGAGGGGCCAAAGACGGGCCAAGAGGGTCTCCAAAAGGCACATCAAAAGGGCCCCGAGACGCGCCCAAATATCGCCCCGAGGCACCCAACACGGCCCCAAGGCGGCCCAAGGAGCTTCCAAGACGGCCCAGGAGGCCTCACGGACGCTCCAAGAGGCCCCCTGATCGGGCCCCAAGAAAGGATAAACACATGCATTTCCTTGGGTTTTTAAATTTTTGACTTCTCGCCGTTTTGGCTTCCCGACGCTCCAATCCGACCTAAGAGGCCCCACAGATCGCCCCAAGTTGGCCCCAGTTGTCCCCAAGACGGCCCAAGAGGACCCACAGAGGGCCCAAATGGCCCAAGACGGCCCAAAGGCGGCTCCAAGAGGGGTCCCATATGGGGAGCCCGGACGTACATTTCGAGCCCTCGGCCCCCCCAAGAGGCCCACAAGATGTCCCCCATAAGCCTCCCAAGAGGCCCCCAAGAGGCCCCAAGAAGCCTCCAAGAGGCCTCCAAGAGGACCCCAAGAGGTCCCCAAGAGGCTCCCAAGAGGCATCAAAACTGCCCCCCAAAGAGGCACCCGAGAGCGCTCTGAAGAGACCCCAAGAGATACCCCTGAGAGCTCTGACCCACAACTCAAGCACTGTGGCGGGATGGGCCGAATGCCATTCTCGGGCCGGGCGAAAGGGGGGTATAGCAAATGGGGGAGGCGGCCATGTATCGAGGAATGGGCCCCGAAACCAGCTGCATGCAGCAGATCTCGTACCCCCCCTTTCCCAATCACCCCCTTTCATCCAGCCCGACATTCGTAGCAGGAGAAACAGCGGCACAACTACAAACTTTTTGGCGCTCCGCGCGGATCTCTTGGATCTGCGTTGGACCACCCCCCCAGCACGCGGGGCGCGCCAGGGGTGGCGCCGCAGGCTCCGCCAGTGGGGGCCCAGGCGCCGATCCTAGAAAACCGCGCGGAGCGTCGACAGGTTCTGCTCATAGCGTTTTTTCTTCGAAGTAAATCACCGGGATGGACAGAACCCCCTTTAGTAAAACGTGGTTTTAGTGAAAACGACCTCGGGCCCAAACCTGGTGGTCGCAAGCCTGGGAAATGGCGGCCGCGGCGCCCTCCCGAGAACCGAAAACGGACAATTCACTAATCGACGTGTCATGGGGGGGGTTCTGTCCACCCCGAAATAACCCAGAAGCGTGTGCGGAATCCTTCTGCACCATCTGCCTAGCTTTCCGCCGCCCAGAGCCCTTGTTCTTGGGGCCATCGCCCCGGCGACCCCCGCCGCCTGGGAACTGTGCCCTTGGGGCCCCCCTGTCCATCCGACGGGTTCTGGCGTGGCACCGACCAGCGCCCCCCGCTGCGCCCAAACACCCCCGCCGCCGGGAAGCCTCGCTCTCGGGGCGCTCTGCAAAGAAGGGCCCCGGGATTTCGCCGCGCCTGGCACCGCCAGCCTCCTGGAGGAAGAGCCACACCACCCTGTAAAAATCGCGATGGGACCTCCCAACACGCCTCCAGCCACCCTGCAGAAATCGCTCTGGACCCCCCACCACGCCTCCGCACCAGGCCTGACACCGCCAGCCTCCTTGAGCCACTGGTTATGAGTGGGGTCCTTTTTGAGCTCTTCCTTCGTCGTCTTGAAAAACTTCGGTAACGATATCAAAAGATGCTGGGAACATAACAATGATGTGAGGATGTCCCTAGCGAGATGAACACTTTTAGGAACGGCGTCGTCGAAGATACAGCTATGTTTGCCTGCCACGCTCCTCGCAATTTTCAGAGGATGTCTCGAGCCAGAGCGTCGTGTTCAACATAAGAGGTAGGACGACACAACTGTCGGTATCTTACTTCTTCGAGGATGTCTCAGGCGAAACGCACATGCTCGAGAATTACCTTGTGACGTACCTAACCCTTTTTATACATGCGGCGGTTCTACTCCGGACCACTTGATGTTGACTGGCATTCTGAAGGACCCGCAGTGCGCGTATCTCCGCTGGGCCTCCCAGGAGCCCGCAGGCCCCCCAGGGCGGGGCGGCGAGGTCCCGAGGTGGTCCGCGTGGGACCCACCTCCGCTGGGCCTCCCAGGAGCCCACGAAAGTGGCGACAATTGCGCAGATCGCAAGCCTCCCAGGAGCCCACGAAAGTGGCGACACTTGCGCAGATCGCAGGCCCCCCAGGGCGGGGCGGCGAGGTCCCGAGGTGGTCCGCGTGAGACCCACCTCCGCTGGGCCTCCCAGGAGCCCACGAAAGTGGCGACAATTGCGCAGATCGCAAGCCCCCCAAAGGTGGTCCGCGTGGGACCCACCTCCGCTGGGCCTCCCAGGAGCCCACGAAAGTGGCGACAATTGCGCAGATCGCAAGCCCCCCAGGGGGCGGCGAAGTCCCGAGGTGGTCCGCGTGGGACCCACCTCCGCGGGGCCTCCCAGGAGCCCACGAAAATGGCGACACTTGCGCAGATCGCAGCCCGACGGCACGAGAGAAGAGGAGAAGGGAACACAGGAAACAGGAGAGGAGGAGGGGATGAGAGGGGAGGCGGGAGAAGGAGGGTGGAGACCACACTGCTCTATTCAATACGAGAACCCAACACAGGAGGGTTGGGAACACCAGCAATTCCTGACTTGCATGTTTGGGAGGATGCCCCGAGCAAAACGTTTGATTGTGTAAAAAAACGGCGTTGGAGATAGCTCATGTTTGTGAGGAGGCCTCAGGCGATCAACACATGTTCCTGGATGCAAATTTCGCAAGAACGCCAAACTCTCGCTACGAATTCCCCGAAGACGCTTCCCGTCATTCGCTAACGAATGTTGTTTTGCGACCCGCCACCCCAAATAATACGAGACTTCAAGAAGATGTGAAACACTTTCAACCAGCACGTCCCATTCTCACTTCCAATTTCTCGAAATCATCCTCGAACGAATGATTGCTACGACTCGTCATCTCATATAGTAAACAGATACCAATCAACTATGATACACTTTCAACCATCACGTCCAACTCTCGCTACGACTTTCTCGACGACACCTCCCGACATCCGCTAACGAATCGGTCCGTGCGCCTCGCCACGGTATGTAATTAGAATGTTGGGAATAAGGATGCATACTCAACCATCACGTCAAACTCTCGCTTTGAAATCCTCGAAAACGCTTTCCATCATCCGCTAACGAATTGGCCCGTGCGGCCCGCCACGGTATGTAGTTAGAACTTTTAGAAGAATGCAAATTCAACCATCACGTCCAACTCTCGCTTCGAATTCCTCGAACACGCTCCCCGTCATTCGCCAACGAATGTGTTTTTCGATTCGCCACCCCATACAGCACGACAACGTTAATCAGATGCGATCTCATTTCAACGAGAACGCCCAACTCTCGCTTCGAATTTCTCGAAGACGCCTTCCGTCATCCGCCAGCAAATTGCCCTGCGCAACCCGCACCACTCTGTTTGAGAAAAGTAATACCCCTGGACCAACGGTGCACGCAAAGGCGCTTCCCGTCATCCGCCACCGTGCCCCCTGGCACGTTGGGGCGTGTTTGGATGCCAAGTGCCGCCTTCGTGCATGCTCCCTGGCGCCCCCGCTGCTTCCGCACGCGCTCGTCGTCGCGAGCCGCTCCGTTCTGTTCCTGGCCCTCGGATGGCGAATGAGGGGCAACGTTAGGGCGGGGCCAGCTCCGTCGGGGGAGGTGGACACCGAGCCTCGAGCTCGCATCGGCGATGCGTCGCCGAGAGGCCCGCGATAGCGAATCCGTGCGGTCCTTGGGCTGGGTAGGCTCTCGGGCCCCTTGTCGGCGGTCAATGGGCGATTGGGGTTCGATGCGTCCCCCCCCAGATCCTGTCCCCGCTAACTGAAGGGGCCCAGGGACACACAAATGAATACACACAAATTCGAGGATTCCCAACATCTTTTCGCATATTTTCTGGATGTTCGTCTTCCCCCCCACTTCTAATATTTTCCCATTTATTCGGGGGGATCGGCGACTATTTGTGTCTGTGTGTTTTTTCCCCTCCTAACTAACGTTGCCCCTGAGCGCACCAGCCCGCCGAGCCGCACCAACAAGGCGAACTCGACTCGTCGCCCATGCCTGCGCTGTATTTTTTTACCTTCCCCACCGGCCCCCTCTCTCGATCCCTCCCCCATCGCTCCCTACCCCTTCAATTGCAACCTCCCTCCCTCCCTCCCGCCAGTCTCCCGTCTCTCCCCGCGCGAGCGCGTTCCCGGCGCGTTCCCGCGCGCGCGGGAACGCGTGGGGGGGATCGCCTTGATCTGGTTTAGGTGGTCCTTGCCCTGGAAGATGGGCTTGCGGCCGATGAGCTCGCACAGGATGCAACCCACGGACCACACGTCAATCGACTTCGTGTACTCGGAGGCCAACAGGACGACCTCTGGAGCTCGGTACCACCGCGTGACGACGTAGTCTGTGAGGTTCGGGTCGTCCTCGTCAACATTGTACCCGCGGGCGAGCCCGAAATCACATATCTTCAAGTCACAGTTCTTGTTAACGAGAATATTGGAAGGCTTCAGGTCGCGGTGGACCACATTCGCACTGTGAAGATAAAGTAGTCCTCGCAGGATTTGGTATGCGAAGTATTGATGATGTTCATCGTTGAGGACCTGCTTCGAATAGATCACTTTGTGCAGGTCCGACTCCATCAGGTCTGTGACGATGTAGATGTCGTCGAAGTCGGGGTGGTCTGGCGGATACATGTCAAGAATGGATATGATGTTGTCGTGTTTGAAACCTCGCAACAACTTCACCTGGCCGACTTTGGAAACCGAGGGTGCGCTTGCATTGACCGCTCCCTGGAGATGCACCTCCAACTGCCGCTGGCTCCCACAGACAAAGCCGCCCAGATCCCCGATGTCATGTGAGCGACGATTAAAACATGGTTTTACGCGAGATGGCACAGCGACCTTACGCGGTGGATTACGCCAGCCGCCAGCGCGGCACGCTGCATTGGAGACGATGGCGCGCACGCGCGACCTTACGCCAGCAGCTTACGCGCCAGTGTCGGCGCAGACGACCCCCTCCCTTTTTTGGCATCGCTCATGTTTTTCAAAGCGACGAGCCTCAGAGGGCTGGACCCCTTCCCGAGGGCCAGCTTCGCACCCCGAATCGCTTCTGGACGGTCCCGAGGCCCCCGGTACAGTAGGGGCTCGACCGCAAGAAACCTTCCACAGGATACCCAACCCTGAGACCCCGGGACGTCCATCGATTCTTGGTGTGGGAGCGTCACGCTTTCCAGAGGCAAAACCATCGAACACCAAGAAACCCAGGGCACCCTGGAGGCGAGCAAGGTGTTTCTTGGCACGGACCTCCACTGTAGCAAAACGCCTCCCGTCGTGTTCTTTGGCCGCGAGCACGTCTGGGGATGAGGCCTCCGCCACCTTCCGCCGATGTGGTGCGGTGTCGCACCCTCGATCCCTCGAGGCCCTTCTGACGCGACGCACCTCCCTCAATATGCGCTTGCCGTCGACGAGGTCGTGGAAAGCGTCGGTGATCTTCTTGACTGCGACCTTCTCGCCGGTCGTGGCGTCCTTGAAGGATGCCACCGTGCCGTAGGCTCCAGACCCGACCTTCTTGATGAATTCTAGGTGAGACGGGCCGGCGACTCGCAAGAGGGTGCGGGGCGAGGTGGGCTGCCTCTTCCGTAGAGGAAGAAAGAAGCCATAAGCACAAACTGTTCGGCGCTTCGCGCGGATTTCTGAGATCTGCGCCGGACCCCCCTCCCTGGCGCGCGGAGCGCGCCAGGGGCGGCGCCGCAGGCGCCGCTGGGGGTTGGTGGACCCAGCGCGGAGCCAAAACATCCACGCGGAGCTCCGAAAGATCATCTTATGGCGCTTTGTGGCTCTTCGAACCCCCTCCCCTGATCGCTGGATATTGAGGGGTGAAACAACGACCCTACCCTGGGTTACAAGTGCGCGTTCTGTAAACCTCCTGGAACCCCCCAAAGCCTAGAGCCGCCAGGACGCGGCACATCACGCAGGGTTTACCCCGTCAACCCACAGGAGTTTCAGCGCACAGCGCCTCGTAAACCAGGGTAGGTGCGTTTTTTCTGCCCTTGAGGATACTGGAAATTGCCAACCGCGCCGCGCGAGATCGGTCGTTACCGATGCTGCTCCAACTGCCGGCATCGGTTGCGACCGAGTCCGAGAAGCCCGCGCGGACGAACCGTTTACGTTTGTGGCGTGTGTTCTGCTCCGAGGGGCGAGGTGGGCTGCCTTCTGCGAGGGCGTCCCCGCCTCTCGGAGACCGCCCGCGCCCCTTGGGTTGTGCTGCTCCCATCGCACTTGAGGACCACATCCCAGAAATCATTTCGAGCACCTGGAAAAGTGTCGAAAGAATGTCGAACGAGTGCCGCAACAGTGTCGGACGAGCGTCTCCCAGGGCCCGACGCGTGAACACCCTCGAGTTTCGGTGCTTTCTTCTGGTGCTCGAGATTCTTTCCGGTGGCCAAGGCCAAAGCAGGGGAGACTCTTCCCGTCCGCCTGGTTTTCCCGGCGCCTCCCAGCGTCGGGAGGCGCCCCTGTATCGAGGAATGGGCCCGGCGGCGGGGCCGAAACCAGCTGCACGCAGCAGATTTCGTACCCCCCCCTTTCCCTATCCCCCCCCCCTCTCGTTGGGCCCGACCTGGAGGAGACCCTTCCCGTCCGGGGGGGCGCGCCAGCTGGCCACCTCACAGAGCCTGGCCAGGGAAATCCGTCCTGGGCTCTCTGCGTGGGCCGGTGCGCGCGCCTCCCTCTGGCCACAACGGGAGGGCGCACCGCCGGATCCAGGACACGTGAAGGCATCCCCAGAGTGGGCGGCGAGCGAGGGGGGGAAGCGAGAAGGGGCGGGCCTTTGCAGACGGCTCGGAAGTCCCCAAGTCCCCTGTCCTTCTGAGAGTTTTTCGAAGCCTTCCCCGAAGACACAAACAACAACTTCTCAGAAGCCGCAAGGACTTCTGAGAAGTCCCACCGCCTTCTGGGAAGCCCTTCTCCTTCTCACTTCCACCCCTCGCTCGCCGCCGACAGGAGAAAACAACAAAAAACGCCATGAACACAAACTTTCCGCGCTCCGCGCGCCAGGAAAGGGGGTCCAGCGCAGATCCGAGAAATCCACGCGGAGCGCCAAAAGCTTAGGTTTATGTAGATTTGTTCTTCTTCGAATCCCTCAAGAGCGCTCGAGGGTGCCCTCCCCCGGGAGGCACACGTACATCACACAACACACGAAGAGCACTGGGGTACTCTCTCCGAACCGACCTCGATCTCATACCTTGGTCCGACTGTATGCGCCCGCCGATCCCGAGTCCAAGAGGAGCCTGCTCGGGATCGGTGAGGAGGCAGTTGACGTCCCCCGGTTCTCTGAGGGGCCACGTTGGGGGGGACAGGCTCGGGGGGGGGGGGGTGCGTCACCCCCAATCGCGCACTGATCGCCGATCGGGGCCGATGGCCTACCCTAGCCAGGAACATGCGGGATGGCCATCGGAGGCCTATCGCCGATCAGCGATGCATGGGCGATGCGGCGCGCTCCTCCGGCCCCACCTCGCCATCCATGGGGCGTGCATCCCCCATGCCTTTTAGTTCGGCTTCGTGCGTCCTGGCAACACCCGAAGTTGCTCTTCCCGCCCCCTCCTGCGCGCCGCCGAGCTGGGACCTTGAACTTGACCTTGGTGTCAATCTGCAGCTCCTTCCACGGCATCTGGCCCTCGAGGGCCCCGCGACCCAGCAGCGGGCGCCCTGGGGCCCGGGGCCGGCGAGGGAGCCGCGGCGCCCGGCTTGGCCAGTGTCGGGGGTCTCTTCGGGCCCGGGCCGATCCAAGCCTGGGTCAGTCAGGCCCGGATCGAAGAGGCACCCAGAACGCTATTTATGTTGCTCCTATCGCACTGGAGGACCACATCCCGGAAATAAGTTCGAGCACCCAGAAAAGTGTCGAAAGAGTGTCGAAAGAATGTCGAAACAGTGTCGGACGTGTCTCCCGGGGCCCGACACGTGAAAACCCTTGAGTTTCGGCACTTTTTTGGGCGCTCGAACTTCTTTCTGAGGATCAAAGTTAAAAAAGGTTGGGACATCATAGCGCTATCCCCATCGCCCGTTTTGCTCTTTTGCTGGGCCTCCAGAGCGGCCCTCGTGGCCACCGCTGGATTCGTCCCTTGCCTTAGGTCGGGCCTTTCCCCCTACAGGGGGACTTTGGACGAAACATAAAAATATCAAACACATTACCCTGTGACGTACCCAACCCTTCCTATACACGTGGCGATTCTACTCAGGACCACTCAATGCTGACTGGCATTCTGAAGGACCCGCAGTGCGCAAGAAGAGCACCCAACAGTGATTTCAGAAGAGCGCAGCAAGACGAGGAAGGGCAACTATACAGAATGGAAACACACGGGCGCTGAAAGAAACGCGTATGACGTACCTCCGAATGGTCCACGTGGGACGTACCTCCGCTGGGCCTCCCAGGAGCTCACGAAAAATGCGACAATTGCGCAGATCGCAAGCCCCCAACAAGGCACCGCGAGGTCCCGAGGTGGTCCGCGTGGGGCCCACCTCCGCTGGGCCTCCCAGGAGCCCACGAAAGCGGCGACAGTTGCGAAAATCGCAAGCCCCCCAGGGGCGGCGAGGTCCCGAGGTGGTCCGCGTGGGACCCACCTCCGCTGGGCCTCCCAAGAGCCCACGACAATTGCGCAGATCGCAAGCCCCCCACAGGGCGGCGAGGGCCCGAGGTGATCCGCGTGGGACCCACCTCCGCTGGGCCTCCCAGGAGCCCACGAAAGCGGCGACAATTGCGCAGATCGCAAGCCCCCCACAGGGCGGCGAGGGCCCGAGGTGATCCGCGTGGGACCCACCTCCGCTGGGCCTCCCAGGAGCCCACGAAAGCGGCGACAATTGCGCAGATCGCAAGCCCCCCAAGGGGCGGCGAGGTCCCGAGGTGGTCCGCGTGGGACCCACCTCTGCTGGGCCTCCCAAGAGCCCACGAAAGTGCGCAGATCGCAAGCCCCCCAAAGGGCGGCGAGGGCCCGAGGTGATCCGCGTGGGACCCACCTCAGCTGGGCCTCCCAAAAGCCAGCGAAAATGGTGTCAATTGCGCAGATCGCAAGCCCCAGGGCGCACCGCGAGGTCCCGAGGTGGTCCGCGTGGAACCCACCTCCGCTGGGCCTTCCAAGAGCCCACGAAAGTGGCGACAATTGCGCAGATCGCAAGCCCCAGGGCGCACCGCGAGGTCCCGAGGTGGTCCGCGTGGGACCCACCTCCGCTGGGCCTCCCAGGAGCCCACGAACATGGCGACAATTGCGCAAATCGCAACCGCCAAGGCACCGCGAAGTCTCAATCCGCGTGGGACCAACCTCCGCTGGGCCTCCCAAGAGCCAACGACATAGGCGACACTTGCGCAGATCGCAGCCACCAAGGCACCGCGAGGTCCCGAGGTGATCCGCGTGGGACCCACCTCCGCTGGGCCTCCCAAGCGCCCACGAAAAAGGCGACAATTGCGCAAATCGCAGGCCCCCAGGCACCGCGAGGTCTCGAGGTGGTCCGCGTGGGACCCACCTCAGCTGGGCCTCCCAAGAACCCACGACAATGGCGACACTTGCGCAGATCGTAGCCCCCAAGGCACCGCAAGGTCCCGAGGTGGTCCGCGTGGGACCCACCTCCGCTGGGCCTCCCAGGAGCCCACGAAAGTGGCGACAATTGCGCTGATCGCAACCCCCATTGCACCGCGAAGCCTCGAAGTGGTCCGCGTGGGACACACCTCCGCTGGGCCTCCCAAAAGCTAGCGAAAATGGTGACAATTGCGCAAATCGCAGCCCCCAAAGCACCGCGAGGTCTCGAGGTTGTCCGCGTGGGACCCACCTCCGCTGGGCCTCCCAGGAGCCCACGAAAGTGGCGACAATTGCGCAGATCGCAACCACCAAGGCACCGCGAGGTCCCGAGGTGGTCAGCGTGGGACCCACCCCCGCTGGGCCTCCCAAGAGCCCACGAAAGTGGCGACAATTGCGCAGATCGCAAGGCCCCAGGGCACCGCGAGGTCCCGAGGTGGTCCGCGTGGGACCCACCTCAGCTGGGCCTCCCAGGAGCCCACGAACATGACGACAATTGCGCAGATCGCAACCTCCAGGGCACCGCGAGGTCTCGAGGTGGTCCGCATGGGACCCACCTCCGCTGGGCCTCCCAGGAGCCCACGAAAGTGGCGACAATTGCGCAGATCGCAACCACCAAGGCACCGCGAGGTCCCGAGGTGGTCAGCGTGGGACCCACCCCCGCTGGGCCTCCCAAGAGCCCACGAAAGTGGCGACAATTGCGCAGATCGCAAGGCCCCAAGGCACCGCGAGGTCCCGAGGTGGTCCGCGTGGGACCCACCTCAGCTGGGCCTCCCAGGAGCCCACGAAAATGACGACAATTGCGCAGATCGCAACCTCCAGGGCACCGCGAGGTCTCGAGGTGGTCCGCATGGGACCCACCTCCGCTGGGCCTCCCAGGAGCCCACGAAAAAGGCGACAATTGCGCAGATCGCAAGCCCCCAAGGCAGCGCGAGGTCCTGAGGTGGTCAGCGTGGGGCCCACCTCCGCTGGGCCTCCCAGGGGTCCACGAACGCGGCAACAGGTGCGAAAATCGTAAGCCCCCCAGGAGCGGTGAGGTCCCGATGTGATTCGCGTGGGACCGCCTCCGCTGGGCCTCCCAGGAGCCCACGAACGTGGCGACAACTGCGCAGATCGCAAGCCCCCCAAGGGGCGGCGAGGTCTCGAGGTGGTCCGCGTGGGACCCACCTCAGCTGGGCCTCCCGAGAGCCCACGACAATGGCGACAATTGCGCAGATCGCAGCCCCCAGGGCACGGCGAGGTCCTGAAAGGTTCCGCGTGGGACCCACCTCTCCCAGGAGCCCACGGAAGTGGCGACAAATCTCGCAGATCGCAGACCCCAAGGCACCGCGAGGTCCCGAGGTGGTCCGTGTGGGACCCACCCCCGCTGGGCCTCCCAGGAACCTGCGAAAGCGGCGACAATTGCGCAGATCGCAGCCCCCAGGGCACCGCGAGGTCTCAATCCGCGTGGGACCTACCTCCGCTGGGCCTCCCAGCAGCCTGCGAAATCGGCGACAATTGCGCAGATCGCAGCCCCCAGGGCACCGCGAGGTCTCGTGATGGTCCGCGTGGGACCCACCTCCGCTGGGCCTCCCAGGAGCCCACGAAAATGACGACAATTGCGCAGATCGCAGGCCCCCAGGCACGGCGAGGTTCCGAGGTGGTCCGCGTGGGGCCCACCTCAGCTGGGCCTCCCAGGAACCCACGAAAGTGGCGACAATTGCGCAGATCGTAAGCCCCCCCCTTGGGCGAGGTCCCGAGGTGGTCCGCGTGGGACCCACCTCCGCTGGGCCTCCCAAGAGCCCACGAAAATGGCGACAATTACGCAGATCGCAGCCCCCAGGGCACCGCGAAGTTTCGAGGTGGTCCGCGTGGGACCCACCTCCGCTATGAAACGCGCGTAAATTCTGAATACGGACGCTCAAGGAAAGCGTCGGTTACAGACGGGGAGGGGATTTGGGAAAAATGGTCCGCCCCCTGGGCCCGTGGACCCGGTCGCCGGGTATATTATATAACCGCATGCCGATGAGAATAAAGTACCCCCCCCCCTTAAGTCGTTAGAGTTTATTATCGTCGACCAATAAGAGTTTGGTCGGGGGCGCGGGGGCGCGGAGGCCGAACTTCATTATCACGGGAAAAATTCGCCATCGAAGTTACTTCCTTCTTATGTTGGGATAACAACATCAAGCGAAGCGAACACGTTGTTTCAGGATGTCCCACGCGAAACCAGTGTCCTTCTGTCTCTTTGTAGTTCTTTCTGTCTCTCTGTCTTTCTTTCTCTGTCTCTCTTTCTCTCTCTCTCTCTCTGTCTCTCTATCTCTTTCTCCTTCCTGGCCTCTCTGTCTCTCTCTCTCTCTCTCTGTCTCTCTATCTCTTTCTCCTCCTCCTCCCCCTGGCGCCCTGAACTTGTTTATCGCTGGGGTTGATTATCCAGGGAAAACGAGGCACGTGAGCTACCCTACACGAGCACTTAAATGTTTTAATTTTCATAAAGCGCTTGTAAATAAAATTTAATACATTTGAATCTTCAGGCTTTTTTGTTTAATCCTCCTTTCCTCTTCTCTTTATCCTTTTCATTTATTATTCTACTTTTCTTTTTAAATGTATCTTCTCTCTTTAAGTCCTTCCTTTCTTTTTCTTTATGATGTATCTCTCTTTCTCTCTCTCTCTCTCTTTCTCTCTCTCTCTCTCTCCATGCCCCCCCCCTCTGAACTTTTTTATCCCTGGGGTTGATTATCCATGGAAAATGAAGCACATGAGCTACCCTACACGAGCACTTAAAATTTTAAGTTCCATAAAGCGCTTGTAAATAAAATCTAATACATTTGAACTTGAGATTTTTCCTTCTCTTTCTCCTCCTCCTCTGTTTTCTTTCATTTTAGTTTTTTTTTTCAATTATTCTTTTTCATTTCTTATTGTTTCTTTTTATTTTGTTTTTGTATATCGCTTTCTCCATTCCTCCGCCCGCCTGAACTTTATTATCGCCGCGGTTGATTATCCAGGGACACCGAGGCGGATGAGCTATTCCGAGGATGTCTCAAGCGAAACAAGCATATACTCGAGGATGTCTCAAGCGAAACAAGCATATACTGAAGGATGTCTCAAGCGAAACGATACGTTTCTTAAGCGAAATAAGCAATAGTTTGACGGTGTCTCAAGCGAAATAAGCAATAGTTTGTGGATGTCTCAAGCGAAAC